GGCAAATTTCCGTGTGTTTAGATGTATAAACATGTTGTCTATTTATAATGGAAAAGATTAGGTCAACAATATTGAATCAAATCTTGTGCAATCATGGTATAATATTTGATTTGGAATTTGCATGAAATCTTTCTTTTTTAGGCCAATCTCATGCCAATCAATCTAACACATTTTTTGCAAGTTGTCACCAACTTTTTAGACTTATGATTTGATTCAAAATTAGATTTCCATGCCTTATATCATTTATTTGGTATTTTATTTGATTTATTTTGAACTTAAGTGAATAAAATCAAAATAAAAAGAAATAAAAACTACAAAAAAATAAATGAATGTATTAATAGGTCTATTATGAGGTCAGGAACATGTTTGGACTTTAAAATATAGGCCCATTAGCCCCAAAATTCAAATTTGCTCAATTTGGATTTCATGCATTTTCTCAAAATTGCCCAACTTGCACAAATCATATCTTGCTAAATTTTTGTCATATGAAGGTGATCTTGAACTTTTTGGAAAGCTCGAGATGTCTCCTACAACTTTCATGTTGGTCATTTTTCATTTGAAGAATTTAACTTGATGTAAATTGCTTTGACAAAAGATATCCTTTTGTGGACTTTAAAAATGACTTGTAATGTTTTGGCCCTTATATCTTAAATGAAGCATTTTTGGCCTTGAGCTTAGAGAGACAAAGTTGTAGATAATTGAATTTCCTTCAAGATAGGCTTTGGTTGGGAATTTTCTGATGAAGTATGTGAAAGTTATGCTTCGTCAAAGTTTTGTTGACTTCTCTTTAAAAAAACCCTAATTTAGTAACTTTTGACTTTTGATGAATCTTGAGTTTTATTAATGAATCATGATCAACCCTTGATCAAATGATGAATGTGACTTCAAAATATTGATGTTGACCAAAAATCTTCAAGTTTGACTGTAGATTGGTCAAAGTTGCTTTTTGTCCAATATAGTTAATTTTCAATCATCTGAGCAATTGACTGAGCAAAGTTGTCTGCAAGGCTTGAAATTTGGCATGAGGGTACCTTGATACATATGAGGACCCATAAAATCCACTTGAGGCATTAGAAACTCAATTTCCTTTAAGAAAATTAAAACCCTAGTTGTAGGTCAACTACTTAGGAGGAAAGTTTGTATGGTCAACCCTTGAGTAGTCTTGAGCATTTGAGACCTTCATGAGCATGAGGATGTGTCTTAAATTAATTTGTCTTGAAAATGGGAGGGCAAATTTTGGGGTACAACAGCAGCCATATGAGCTTTAAGGACCAAAACCATGTTTGCATCCATAACGTGCAACGTCTTGTTTTCCATGTGAATCTTGTAACCCTTCTCAAGAAATTGGCCAATACTTAGAAAATTACATTTGATTCCAGGAATGTACAATACATATTTGATCAAGGTATATCCACCATCCCTTCTCATGATCAAAACATCATTAATCCCATCGGCCTCTAAAGTGGTGTCATCTGTGAATTTCACTTTATTCTTCGTGGCTTAATTTATTTTGACAAACCAATCATTTCTCTATGTCATATGCGTAGAGCAACCAGAATTCAAGTACCATTCTTTGATGCAATAGACTCCTTCTCTCACAGTCACCATAACATTTTATTTCGCAAATTTTTCTGCAGCGCTCCTAGAACTGTTGTTGCATTCCCCTTTCGTGATCATGACCAAGAGTGTATTACCATTATCCAACTTTTTTCTAGCAACCTTGGCTCTTCTTGAGATTCTCTTTTTTCCGCGGTGCATTCTCTAGAAAAGTGACCGAACTTTTGACAATTGTAGCATTGTGCCTTAGTCTTGTCATACTTTCCTTTTTCGCCTCTAATGCTGCCTTAACCATCATTTTTGTTGCATCTGCTCTCACCCCTTTGACAAGTCGCGCTCTTTGAATTTTGGGACTTTTTTCCACCAAAATTATGAAAATTCCCTTTACTATTCATGGGCCATTTTCCTTTTTGACTTCTTGTTCTTCTCATTGAACCGTGCTTGCAAAGCAATCTCTACCTTTGCCTTATCATTATTTCTCTTCTTCATCATTTGCTCATGAGCCTTAAGAGAGCTTTGAAGATCATCTTTGATCATCGTCGCAAGATCCTTCGACTCTTCAATCGCCACTACAATGTTCTCAAATATTGTCGTTAAAGAATGCAAGATCTTCGATATAACATTCAGCTCCAAAACAGTTTCTCCACAAGCCTTGATTTGATTCACCAGTCGTATAATTTGCATCACATAATCGTTGATTGTCTTTTTATCCTCCATTTAAATCAATAAAAATTAACGTTTGTGAGTTTGTAACTTTACCACCTTTGCCTTATCAGCCCCTACATATGCCTTTTCCAAGATTTCCCATGATTCCTTTGTTGATTCGCAATCGCCGACTTTCTCAAAGTTGTCACCATCCGCACATTGATGGATCAAGAACAACATTTTGTAATCTTTCTTCTTTTCTTCCTTGTGTGTTACTCGTTGTGCATCTGTTGCACCTTCGACTAGGGGATTCACCCATTCTTGATCACTTCAAGAACATCTTGGTAGCCAAACAAAACCTTCATTTGCTTGCACCATTTGTCGTGATTCTTCGTATCAATGGTTGGTAGGTTTGTAGGGACTCTATCATTAGAGACATAATTCATATTGCACATCAGATGTTTATGGATCTAAACCAGGCTCTTGATTCCAAATGTTGGAACATACAATCACACAATTGATGAATAAAGGAGGGCTTAAGGTATATGGAGAAGAAGAGAGAGAGAGAGAGAGAGAGAGAGAGAGAGAGAGAGAGAGAGAGAGAGAGAGAGAGAGAGAGAGAGAATTGAGAGTCATAATGATAATTTTCATTAACCTGAGATGAGGATGTCTCCAAGGCATTTGCACAAGTGTTACAAAATGATTAGGACCTAAAACAAATCATCTAATTATAAGAAAAAGCGAAAACTCAAGCTCGTGACCAGTTAACATAAATGGTTAACCGCGTTAGACAGACAAAACAATAAAAAATAACATGTTAGGTGTAACCGGTTAACGCGTTTGGTTAACCGGTTAACACAACTTAAAAACAGTTTTATTGCTTCCAGAAGTGTTTTTCCATCAGTTGTAACCTATTACACCCCCATGTTAACTGGTTACAACACTTGAATAATTGGTTTTTACTCAACAAGAAATTATATAGTTATGATACAATATTTTTTCGTGTTATTAAATTACCTCTTTTAAAACAACCTAATATTGTTATTGTTCCTTCTCTTTTGCCGAATGGAAATTCTGATGACGGTGGTGGTGATGGTGATGATAGGAGTGGAATTGTTAGAGGGTTAGCTATTAGATTTGAAATTTTAGCGTTTTTTGATGGTTTTAATTATAAGAATTTGGTTATATATAGAGAGATTGCGTTGAAAAAGGAAAAGAAAGGAAAGGATTTGTATTTTGGAGAGAAAGGGAAAAAAATGGATGAATATGGGATGGATGTGAATTCTATGGCTTATGTGTTTGATTATTTAGATAAGTATATGGTTTTTGGACTTGGTGAATTGATTGAAGTTATGGTTTGATAAGTATAGTAAGAACTCGGAGAGAGAAGAAGAAAGAGGAATTAGGTAGCAGAAAAAAGAAGAAAGAGGAATTTAATCAAACGAAATTCCAGCGTATCAAGTCAAAATTTTACTAAATTTATCGTATGTTGTTTCTCCATGTCAACTACATTAGTGAAAATTGACTGGAGATACTATAATTGTGGACGGAAAATTTTAAAGCACTATTATTCATAAAAAATTTATATATAAAATATTTATATGGACAAAAAAACATATTTAATTCTAATTTGTAAACAATATTTTTATCACACGAACTATATAATAATTGGTAACAAAATGATTTTTTTTTCATACTTAATTTTTTACCATAATTTTGGTTTTAGCTTTTTTTTTTCATTTTACTCAATATTTATTCAATTTTTCTTGCAGATTTTTTTATCGCATTTATTATTTTATTACTTATATAATTATTATTTTTACATTGTTTATATGGAGAATTATTGAAATTTTCCCATATTACATTGAATTATTTCGGGGATAAACTTAAAAAGCAAAAGACAGCATGTTTCTACCTTCTGATAGATCATACATTTGAAATGTCCATATAGTAGCATCATAGTTCGATTTTAATATACCAACGAAAATAAAAGTCTACTATGTGCCTAAGATTAATCAAATTAATTTTAAAACCATTGAACAAACACATTCAGTCAGCAACAATTCTCCTAAATTTGACCAAAATGGTGAAGCTACTGATATGAGCACGGTTGGTAATTGTTAGAATTAAAATGTATCATCTTTATTTTTATTTTCTTATTGTTTTATTGTGTTGTGAAATTTTGTTAATAAATTTTTTATAAGTGTTTGATTAAATATATAGTTATTTTTTAATAATTTCATTAAAAAATTAATAATGTATTTTATCTAACTTCATGCAAAATTAATTGACAAAAAATACTTTTTCAAAATTATATTGTATGACTTCAAATAGCCCTAACCTATTAATTTTATTTTCTCCATTCTACAATTACAATTATTTTATGCTATATTATATATTTAATTTAAATTATTTTATGCTATAATATATATTTAATTTAAAAACTATTTTATAATTTTTTGTTTCTATTTCTATAATATTTTATGATGTCTATATTTCTTAATTAAAATCAGTAAAAAAAAATTATTATTTCTCCAAACCAATTAAAACGTGCGCACCATCCATATTCCAATCCAAGTCATCCATTCATCACCAATCAAACCCAAAAAATGAATTAATACAATACACATACATTGTCAAAGTTTTATTACGTTATATATATATATATATATATATATGATAGAATGACAGATAGAGTGATGTCAATCAATCATAACCAAAAAAGAAAGCAAGAAAATAGTCAGTAACTACTTTTTCTTCATCTTCTCCTTAGATCCAACAAAAGACTTTGTAATCAAATGGCAAAAAAAGCTGTGTTGATTGGGATCAACTATCCTGGAACAAAAGCTGAGTTAAGAGGATGTGTCAACGATGTCTGGAGGATGCACAAATGCTTGATTGAACGATACGGATTTTCCGAAGACGACATCACCGTTTTGATCGACACCGATTCCTCGTACACCGAGCCCACAGGAAAGAACATACGCCGTGTGCTGTCGGAGTTGATCCGATCCGCGGAGGATGGAGATGTGCTGTTCGTTCATTATAGTGGACATGGCACGCGTCTTCCGGCTGAAACTGGAGAGGATGATGATACTGGTTTTGATGAATGTATCGTTCCTTCTGATATGAATCTCATCACTGGTTCGTAACCAAAACTTTTCGATTATAGGATATTGCTATTTGTTTTACCTTTTTCTCTTTCTTTCTTTTTTTAATTAAGTCAATCGTCTGCTAATAATGCTTCTTTTTTCTTTACAAAAAGTGTTTTGAGAATCAAGAAACTGTTTTGGTTTGGTTTGGTTTGATTTGATGATAAGGAATCATCAAATAATACCGAATCTCAACTATAAGTAACTGTTTAAAGCTTTTACTTTAATTTGGTCGTTCTTGGTCAGTTTCGTGTAATGTTAGAAATGAGGATAATCCTTCTATCATTGATTGTCATATTTATCTCGGTTTATTTTATTAGTGAGCATTGTGTTTTTTCTTGAGGTAGAACAATGTTGAATTGACGTGGTTATTTTTGTGTATGTAGATGATGATTTCAAGGAATTTGTGGATGGGATTCCTAGAGGATGTAGGCTGACGATTGTATCTGATTCTTGTCATAGTGGTGGCTTGATTGAAGAAGCTAAGGAGCAGATAGGAGAGAGCACAAAAGGAGAAGGAGAAGAGGAAAAATCTGGATCTGGCTTTGGATTCTCAAGCTTTCTGCATAGGAAAGTTGAGGATGCCATTGAGTCCAGGGGATTTCACGTCCCTTCGGGATTGCGCCATCATAAAGACAGGGGCGAAGAAGATGAAGAAGCTGAAGATGGGAACAGCGAACTCCCGCATGGGAACTATGGTTATGTAAAGAATAAGTCTCTGCCACTCTCAACCCTCATTGAGATACTCAAGCAGAAAACTGGAAAAGATGATATAGATGTTGGGAAACTGAGACCTACCCTGTTTGATGTTTTTGGGGAAGATGCTAGCCCTAAAGTGAAGAAGTTTATGAAGGTTATCCTCAACAAACTCCAACAAGGAGGTGGTGAAGGTGAACATGGTGGGATACTGGGAATGGTGGGCAGTCTTGCCCAACAGTTTCTCAAGCAAAAGCTGGATGAGAATGATGAGGGATATGCAAAACCTGCCATGGAAACAAAAGTGGGAAGTAAGCATGAAGTATATGCTGGATCATCAAAGCGCGGTATGCCAAGTGGTGGGATTCTGATGAGCGGCTGTCAGACAGACCAGACTTCAGCAGATGCTTGTCCTGCCGGAAATGCAGCTAATGCTTATGGAGCTTTCAGTAATGCAATACAAGCTATAATTGAGGAGACTGATGGTTCAGTTACATATTCAGAGCTTGTTCACAAGGCTAGACAGAAGCTACAGAAGGCCGGTTTCACTCAAAAGCCTGGACTCTACTGCAGTGATCACCATGTTAATGAACCATTCGTGTGCTGATAAGTTCTGATGCAGACAAAGAGAATAATGAGTGTTCACGTCCCGTGGCTGCAAAATTTGCATTGTATTTTTTTTTAACAAACTTGGCAATTGAGATTCGTGTGTTTCTATGTGTGTTTTTATGATACAGTTGTATTACTGTGATTGGATAATCAGTGTTGCTCTAAAGGAATATTTACTTATATAGAAAAAAATATAATAAAAAAATATAAAAAGAGAATATGTATTTCAACTATTATATTAATAATCATTGATGAATTTGATACAAATTGGAGTCAGACTGACTGGATTATGTGATATAGCAGCCTATTCAGACTGGACTATTTAATACAGCCTAGTTATCTGCTGTTTCAGTGAATTATCTTTACAAATATACAAAATTGAATTATATGCTAAAATGGGAGATAAAAATTGATAACTAAATGATACTGCACAATTGTGTTGAATGGCACAGAGGATGAGTCTTTCCTCCCAAAAAAATCGGGCATCAAGGTTGAGCCTTTTCCTAAAACATTAATTGCTTGGTGACTTGCAGAGGACACTGAATAATGGAAACGTCAAGCAACTATCAAAAGGCTTCAAACTTTGTTATAAAGAAAATGTGAGGCTTCAAACTTTGTTAAAACAAAAATGTGAGCAAAGTCTATTATCACACGTCAATCATCAATTTCTTTAACCCATGCTAAACCTGCGAATTATATCAGTAGGTTAGTTTCTTGATTGAATTTGACAAAATGAATTGGATGAAAACGTATATCAATTTTCTACCTTGAAGGACAGTTTCAACAGCTGCATTAGGAACAAGAAGCCCAACAATTCGTTTTTTATCCACGGTAGTAGTTTCTATGCGAACAACTCGGAGCCTCCTATGGCTTAGGCGGGCCTGTATATATCATCAGTTTAGTGTTTTTTTTCAAGGATATATATATATATATATATATATATATATATATATATATATATATATATATATATATATATATATATATATATATATATATATATATATATTTAAGTAATTTCTGAGGCCACTGCCATTATAAAGATATCAAATAATCAGTTACCCGTGAAGTCATGAAGTATAATGGTCTAAACTAAACAATGGACCAAGAGCCACCTTACAAAGAAAACCTTTTCAAGCAGATATAAATAATTCATTAAGTTGAAAGTTCTTCTACAATGCAAACTCGATTGTGTGAACACTTACTAAAACTTATATTAGAATCCAAGCCATGCATTACAATGACAATGAAAACCTCGAGGTTTAAAAACTCAAACCAACAAATTAAATAATAGGACAACGTGACAAACCAATGCATATATTTTACCATCAGCAATACAATATTTTCTCAATAAAATGTTTTGGTTTTTGTTTTCATATATGCTGAAGAAATACCTGCTTAGAAAGGGTTTTTTCTATTGTTCCCCAAACAGGAAGAATGAGGCCACCCAAGACATTTACTTCCTGTAGTCTTCTTCCGACTGTACAGAAGCTGCCAATCTTACAATTGGGACCGTGCATGCACTGCCAAAAAGGGCAAATAGAGGTGTGTGTTAAACAGTGTAGAGTAAGTGTGGATTACATTTTTATCATCTCAGTTCTAATGCATCTTTCAGGTCCTATAATACCATTCAGGCATCATACATGGCTATATACTGATCGATGATGTTATACAGTACGGATAATACATCAACAACAACCAAGCATTATCCCACTAAGTGAAATCAATGATGTTAGACAGTACGGATAATACATCAACGAAGAAAATACAATATATGTCTAAGTGTATGACTAAGTTAAGTATAAATGACAGTTGTGCAAGAAATTCACAACAAATACAGAGAATAATAGCATACCAGAGCCTGAGTCAATTCAGTATGTACGACACATGTGTCAGGAATTCACGAGAGAAAGTACAATAGCATATCAGTTGATTCTAGAAAAAAAAAACGTAGTATGTATGACTGCAATATTTGCTTAGTCTACTTCCTTAAACGATTTATTTATGAATCTCTGTAGTTAATAGAGGTGGTGGCAGTACTGTATGTGGCGGAAAAATTGCAAAGAAAATGGCGTTGTTTCTTATCGTTTTTTTACTTCTGCAACCACTCCCTTCTCTATCAACCTCTCTTCTATTTCGTTATTTATCCTCTCTCTCTCTACGAGAAAGCGACCTCACTTCTCCCCTTATTTTTCTCCATCAACCTCTCTTCTATTTCGTTATAAACCTATTATAAATAAACTAATATTCCTTATGTTGTTTTAGCAAAACTGGTACCCAAATTAAACTGCAACAAGCAACACTTGACTTTTACCATAAAGCCTCAAGAATTCAATATTTCATTTCAATAATAATTGGTTTCATTGCAAATTAACAAACAGGAAATGCCTTCTAAAGAAAATACCTGTTTAGATGAAACTTCATATTCCTCTTCCCAACCAGTTTGAGCCTTTTCTATTGACGAAACTTTTCTGTATTTACTTTTCAATTCAGATAGAGGCATCTCCCTAAGGGATTGAAGGGAAACCATGATCAAAATACAAAAACAAAAAAAAAATGAAATGCCCAGCAAAGCCTAATTGCTAGAATACATACCGGTTTGATTCCCCAACGGGAGGACGGACTATCTTATACATACCCGAAGCAGAACTGGAACAGAATGAGGGACAAAAATAAGGAAATGCAAATCAATAAGAAATTCGTGTGAAGAACAAAAGTAATAGTGTTATTATATTGTTAGGCAGTTAGTTTTATATTTTCAGTTCTAATATTCTGTTAGTACATTTGCTGAGCTGTCATATTTGCTGTGATAGTAGCTTTGTTTGTTATGATCTAAGCCTCTCTATAAATAGAGTGCTTTTCTGTATCTTCATTCATTCAAGATAATGAAACTTCTCAAACTGTTTTCTCTTCTCTCTTCTTTACCAAACTCTATCATGGTATCTAGAGCTTAAATTTTTCGATCCATGGAGTCCTTGTTTCCGTCTTCGCAAGTGAAGCTTTCTCACTTGATCTCTGTGAAGCTTGATGATAGGAACTTCAAGCAATGGAAGCAACAGATTGACGGAGTTGTCCACGGTCATCGCCTACAACAGTTTGTTACTGTTCCGGTGATTCCTCAAAGATCACCGTCCGATTCCGATACCACACCACACGGTGCGAATTCTGCGTACCTGGAGTGGGAACAATAAGACGCACTCGTCTGCACTTGGCTCCTCTCTACTGTCTCAGATTCGCTTCTCCCAAAGCTTGTAGAGTGCAGACATTCGTGGCAGGTATGGACTGAAATCCATCGCTACTTCAATACGCTCCTCACCACCAAAGTGCGCCAACTACGATCGGAGCTCCGGCAGCTTACGAAAGGCACTCTCATGATTACGGAACTCATCGCGCGTACACGCGAAATCAGTGAATCACTGCTTTCAATTGGGGATCCGGTACCGTTACGTAACCTAATCGAGGTCGTTCTTGATTCTTTGCCTGAAGATTACGATCCAATTGTTGCGGCCGTTAACAGCAAAGATGAATTAAGTTCCTTGGATGAGTTGGAGTCGTCGCTGTTAGCGCATAAATCGCACCTTGAGAAGCATCGTAAGGCTGTGGTTACTGAACCGGCAACGGTGAATCTGACTCAGGCAGCGCCGTCGTCTTCGCCGGTTACCTCTGATCAACCAGCGTTGACAGATGCTTTCCCTCAAGGTACGAGTCACGTGACTGCCAACGCTGATAATCACACTTATGGATCTCGTGGAGGTCGTTCCGGTCGTGGTGGTGGTCGCTATGGACGCGGTGGAGGTCGTTTTGGAAAAACGCAATGTCAGATTTGTCACAAATCTGGACATGACGCGTCTATCTGCTACTATCGTTACTCTAATTCCAGTGGTGCTGCATATCCACCTCCAAGAGCTCAGCATAATCCCTTATGCAGTCACGCCCTAAGTTTCCAGCTCAATTTGGATATTCTGTTCCCAGATGTAGTGCACCTCCTAGATCTTCTGCACCACAGGCGTTTTATGCAGGTTCTGAAGCTGGTTTTAATAACCAATGGTGGTATCCTGATTCAGGAGCTTCTCATCATGTTACTCCTGACGCCTCTAATTTGTCTGATTCTGTTTCTTTGCCAGGAACTGAGCAAGTATTCATGGGAAATGGCCAAGGTTTGTCTATAAATTCTGTTGGTTTCATGTCATTTCACTTGCCACACACTTTCAAAACCTACCTCTTACCCTTAAAAATCTGCTCCTTGTCCCTAACATAACCAAAAACTTAATGAGTGAGCAAATTTGCTCAAGATAATCATGTCTTTTTTGAATTTCATCCTAATTCCTGTGTTGTTAAATCTCAGGCTACTTCTGAAGTGTTACTTTGTGGGTCTGTTGGAGATGATGGACTTTACAAGTTCTCTAATCCTACCACTCAGCTATCCAAGTCTAGTTTTCCAAGTCCAAATTCATGTTCTGCCCAATCTACAAATTGCAGAGCTAGCTGTAATTTGTCATCTTCATTTGTAGCACACAATACTCCTATTTTCAATTGTTTACCAAATTGTATAAGTCATTGTAATACTCTTTGTAATCATGATCAGTTTCAGAATAATATGAGCATTTTACTCATTCTCCTTCTCTTAATTCTGCTACTTACAATACTCATGTATCCTCTCCACATTCTAATAGTTCATCCTCCATAGGCACAAGTGAATATGTTCTTTGGCATACTAGATTGGGACACCCTAATCATCATTCTCTAGTTGAAGTTTACAAACTATGCAACTTCTCCAATTTTCCAAAACCACCTACAGAATTGTGTCAAGCTTGCTGTCTTGGCAAGTCTCACAGATTACCATCTACCCTATCCACCACTGTTTACACCCATCCTTTTGAATTAGTTGTTTGTGATCTTTGGGGTCCTGCACCTATAAAATCTACTGGTGGTTACACATACTTCCTCACTTGTGTAGATGCCTTTTCTAGGTTTGTTTGGGTATTTCCTCTCAAACTCAAATCTGATACCTTTCTCCAGTTTACTCAGTTTAAGAAAATGGTTGAACTTCAATTCAATTGTCCTATCAGATGTGTTCAGAGTGATGGTGGAGGAGAGTTTAGGCCTCTCACCAAATATCTAAATGATTTGGGTATTGTTCATAGGCTCACTTGTCCTCATACTCATCATCAAAATGGCCTTGTTGAACGTAAGCATAGACATATAGTCGAAACAGGGCTCACACTTCTAGCCCAATCCACTCTTCCTTTAAAATTTTGGAACCATGCTTTTGTCACAGCTGCCTATCTTATTAACAGAATACCTAGTCCCACACTTGACAATTTCTCTCCTTATTTCAAACTTCTAAATAAGCCCCCAGATTATTCAAACCTTAAAGTCTTTGGCTGTTCTTGTTATCCCTTCCTTCGTCCCTACAATGCCCATAAGTTAGCCTATAGGTCCCAAGAGTGCTTATTTCTTGGCTATTCTACAGCTCACAAAGGTTACAAGTGTCTAGCTTCTGATGGTCACATCTATATCTCCAAAGATGTGGTGTTTCACGAGTCTAAATTCCCATACCAGTCCATGTTTCCCACTGCATCTCAATCTTCCTTATCCAACACAAACCTCAATTCTACTAATGCCTCCTCCTGGTCAGTCCCTTCTATAATTCCATCCCCTGAATCCAGGCAACCTACATCCTCTCCTTCCCTTAATCCTCCTTCTCCTCCTCAGGCTGAACATCACCATTCTGTCTCTCCTTCAGCCTCCCATTCTGAGTCTGTCTCAGCTTCTAATTCTAGTTCTACTGCATCCCATGTTCCTTCAAGTTCAGCTTCAGCTTCTCATAGTCATGACCAACCAGTCCTAGCTAATGCTGACCACACCCCTCCCTGCTCTCATGCCCTCATTCTTTCAGACCTTGCTGAAGCATCTATCATTTCTCCCTCTTCCTCTCAAACTGTTTCCTCTAACCCCTCTCACTTTAACCAACCTTTTGCCAATCCTCTCAATGTGCATCCTATGCAAACAAGAGCCAAAAGAGGCATTACCCTCCCTAGACTTAATCCCACACTGCTTTTAACCCACATGGAACCAACATCAATTGATCAAGCCTTGGCTACTCCTCATTGGTTCCAAGCAATGAAAGAGGAATAGCAGGCATTGATGAGAAATCAGACCTGGACTTTGGTGAAAGCACCTGATTCTAGGAAGCCAATTGGCTGCAAGTGGGTCTTCAGGATCAAAGAAAACCCTGATGGATCTGTCAACAGATACAAGGCCGGATTAGTTGCAAAAGGGTTTCATCAGAGGGCTGGCAGTGATTTTCAGGAGACTTTTTCACCAGTCATCAAGCCTGTCACAGTCAGAACAGTCCTTACTATTGCTGTCACAAACAAATGGTTCATCCAGCAAATTGATATCAATAATGCCTTTCTAAATGGCACTCTTGAGGAGGAAGTTTTCATGAACAACCCCCTGGGTTTGCAGCCTCTGACAAGTCCCTTGTGTGCAGGTTGAACAAAGCTATCTATGGGTTAAAACATACCCCTAGGGCCTGGTTTGACAAACTCAAGAGTGCCCTGCTTCAGCATGGTTTTCAAGCTAGTAGGTGTGATCCCAGCCTGTTTCTGCTTCATCAAGGCAAACTTCAGATCATGGTTCTTGTATATGTTGATGATATCATCATTACAGGAAATTCAGCTTCCTTTATTACATCCTTGATCAAGCTTCTTAATGATAAATTCTCATTGAAACAGTTGGGACAGCTTGACTACTTCCTAGGCATTCAGGTTTCTCATCTACCTAATGGTTCCATTCTTCTCTCTCAAACAAAATATCCTACTGACTTACTTCTAAAAGTAAATATGCTCAATGCAAATGCCATGCCCACTCCCATGGCTTCTACCAGCAAATTGTCAAAGGTGGGTTCTGTTCCTGTTGAGGATCCCACTCAGTTCAGATCTGTTGTGGGTGCTTTGCAGTATGCCACATTACAGGAAATTCAGCTTCCTTTATTACATCCTTGATCAAGCTTCTTAATGATAAATTCTCATTGAAACAGTTGGGACAGCTTGACTACTTCCTAGGCATTCAGGTTTCTCATCTACCTAATGGTTCCATTCTTCTCTCTCAAACAAAATATCTTACTGACTTACTTCTAAAAGTAAATATGCTCAATGCAAATGCCATGCCCACTCCCATGGCTTCTACCAGCAAATTGTCAAAGGTGGGTTCTGTTCCTGTTGAGGATCCCACTCAGTTCAGATCTGTTGTGGGTGCTTTGCAGTATGCCACATTGACTAGGCCTGAAATTTCTTATTCTATCAACAAAGTTTGTCAGTTCCTGTCCAATCCCCTAGAGGAACATTGGAAGGCAGTCAAAAGGATCCTAAGGTATTTGAGTGGCACCATACAGCATGGGTTACTCTTGCAACCTGCCCTTGTTCATCAACCTATGCAGTTAATAGGATTTTGTGATGCTGATTGGGCATCTGACCCTGATGACAGAAGATCAACTTCAGGCGCCTGTGTTTTTCTTGGCCCAAATGTCATCTTCTGGTGGTCCAAGAAGTAGCAGCTGGTAGCCAGGTCCAGTGCTGAGGCCGAGTATCGTAGTATGGCTCTGTTGGCTGCTGAGTTATTATGGGTTCAGTCTCTGCTCAAAGAGATTAACTGTCCCTTTCAAGTGCCAAAAATCCTATGTGACAACTTAAGTACAGTCACACTTGCTCACAATCCTATCCTCCACAATAGGACTAAACACATGGAGCTGGACATCTTTTTTGTGAGGGAAAAAGTTCTGAGCAAAAGTTTCTCAGTGGCTCATGTCCCAGCTCAAGATCAGTGGACTGACATTCTGACTAAACCTCTATCTGCTGCCAAATTTGTACCTCTGCGTGAAAAGTTGAAGGTGTTTAACAAGAGTGACTTGTCCAGACCACCCTCAACTTCTAAAGGGGACTAATAGTATTATTATATTGTTAGGCAGTTAGTTTTATATTTTCAGTTCTAATATTTTGTTAGTACATTTGCTGAGCTGTCATATTTGCTGTGATAGTAGCTTTGTTTGTTATGATCTAAGCCTCTCTATAAATAGAGTGCTTTTCTGTATCTTCATTCATTCAAGATAATGAAACTTCTCAAACTGTTTTCTCTTCTCTCTTCTTTACCAAACTCTATCAGTAAGGACATAAGCAAATCAAGAAGATCATGTATGCCGCATGAGGTTACACCACCATGACATGATATGTATGTGATCATGTCTAACATTATAATGAATTAATACATTGAAAGCATGTAGTATATTCTCCTAAAATTATCTTCTCTTAATCATGTCAAATATCATGATGATATACAAAAGTATATTGAGAAAAATGAACATCCTGAACTGGGCATCAGACGTTAGTAAAAACTAGTGCAGAAATCAAGTTTGATAAATGAATCTCCTAATTTAGTAACCAGAAAAAGGAAAACTAAGAAAGAATAAAGCAAACAAAAGGAAATTATGAGGCCAGCTATCTCTACTTTTTGGAGTATCCAAGCACATGTGAACATAAATAATAAATAGAAGCTCGGGTTCTTAATTTGGTGACCTAACTGAGCATAGAGAAATGCTTGATAATTAGTTAATACATTTAATATTCAATGAAATTGAATCTGAACTAAGGAAACAGGAATACATAATGAAAAATGATACCATTCAAACGCTAAAATGAAATGACGTTTTCCCAACCATTCCCTCTTGGACTCATAGAAGCCATCATTGGCTGAGCCAAGCCCATCTTTCTGTTTTTCATTCAGCATGTTACTTGCTGACTGACATGTAAACAATAAGAAAGTCAGTATTTTCCGTTTGAGTAACGCACACCATTATTTGGGTCAAACAGAAAGGAACAAGCACCTCCCACGTGATCCCCCGATCCAAGATGAATGTAAACAGAACGGTTGAAGCCGCAGTCAATTGATCAATATGAACTGTCTGCATGTAACGAAAATTTCTCTAGTTCATATCAGCAATATAATAAAGACTAAAAGAACAATGACAGGGTCTTTTTCCTCTGATGATTAAAAATGAAGGAATACAGCTCAAAATATAGGAGTAGAATTGGTTCTAAACAAGGTGTAGAGAATAATTCTGATGTATTTCAAAGTTGTAAAAAGAGTATATGCAGTAATACATTTAAATAGACTAGTCTAAACCAAAACGGCCTTATATATGGGCCGAGCGTACAATTATTATAAATAATAATTATAAATATACATTATTTACAACACAAGGAAACAATTTTGCACGCATGAAAAGAAAAGATCCTAAGATCAGCTCAAATATCAAAATGATATTTGGAGCAGTTTCAATACAATGCAATTATAATTGACACTAAGGAAGGAATAAGGAAAGAAATTGATAACATAAATATTGAGCAGACACAAGTTTAGCAAACAAACCTTTGGAGTCCCTTGTAGTTCTATGACATTAGCTTTCAAGTCAACTATTCCTGTGTCGAGGTTACCTTCAATGCGTGCATTCCGAACGAGAAGATCCAAGATACTCACAAATAACTCAAATAGCCTGTTGATACAGTAGCATTTAGCATATTGAATTTAGTACTAAAAATTTTAGAAGCATCAAGACATTCAATATACATAGGACACACCCGTTCTGAATATCAGGAGGTAGCCCCAAAAGCCGGTTGAGGAATCGTCCAACTTCGTGCATATCTGAATCAATAATTCGACCAGATAACCTTCCAGGATCTTTACCGTTTCCTATAAAATAGGAATCATGTGTATAGTCAAAAGGTTAGGTAGTGCTATTTGGTATCACAACAATAATTCAACAATGAACTCAACCACTCCATTGAATGTTTAGTTGAGGGTAGTAATGAATTACCAAGAACTGTGTCCCTAACTATCCCAACAGATACAAGAGCAGCTTTTGCCTGCATAATGAAATCTTGAATAGTATCTGGTCTCTCAGATGAACATCCCGGAGGAACAACAGGTAGAGAATCCTAGAAAACAATTTTTCATTAGATGGATTTGAGCACTCTTTTCATATATATGGGGACGACTCTAACAAGAACACTTGGTTACTTTGTGAAATGAAAACAATTACTCGTAACCACTAAATTTAAATCAATGCTCAGATTACATTGTAGATAAAAATTCACAGAACTTTATTCCTTTCTCTGTTGCTTTGCCGCCCTTTTTCTTCACTCATGGTTCTCCGCAAAACAAGTCTCAAGAAGCGGCTCAAAAAAAACACTTTGCACAACAAAAATAGTCATGAATGATACACCAATGCTCATCAAAACACACTCGCACACCAAAGCTCAACCCAGGGATTGTGGCAGTATCACTCACCGATGCCCATTAAGTAGTAAATTTTCGGTATACACGATCTTTACTAGTGAAGATATAATACTCTTAAGAATATGGGTTTGACCTAACTCATCCCTACAAAATCGACTTGTAGATTGAGGATTGTCTCCACTTATAAACAAATGTTTCTGCTATATATTATTTGATGTGGGACTCTTAATACACCCTCTCACGCCCAGGACTGGACATCTGGAGCGTGAAAATAAATGATGGCCCCACAAATCTTACACTAGGCTCTGGTACCATCTTAAGAATGTGGATTTGGCCTAATGTATCTCTACAAAACCGGCTTGTAGGGTGAGGATTATACCCATTTATAAACACATGTTCCGGCTATATATTTTCCGATGTGGCCCAACAAATCTTACACACGGCTCTTATACCATTTATAAACACATGTTCCGGCTATATATTTTCCGATGTGGCCCAACAAATCTTACACACGGCTCTTATACCATCTTAAGAATGTGGACTTGGCCTAACTCATCCCTATAAAACCGGCTTGTAGGGTGAGGATTGCCCCCCACTTATAAACACATGTTCAGGCCATATATTATCCGATGTGGAACTCTTAACAAATACTAATAACAAGCACTAGTTAATTAGCGTTCAAATTCAAGATAAATCCTCACAGGATTAAAGAAAACTTGGAATTTCACAACACTCAATTTTAGGTCATTGTTATGCTTCTGGTGTTGACTAGTTGGCGTCATTCTTTAAGGACCCTCCCACAAGTAAATTAAATTGAATAAAAGAATAATTAATTAGAATGCTAATCACACCCAAACATTGGGTCTGTCCAGCTTACTAGATTATACCAGTTTGTTGTTGTAATATTTGGGTGAAGTCACGATTGTGGATGAGAAAAGGAAGAAGGTTCAGTCACATGATATACTTTAATTTGAAATGTAATATGAGCCATTAATCTAAATCTAACGGTTAGATCAATTGTTCTCGTCTCTCACAATAACCAAGTATTCTCACTGGAGTTGTCCCCTATATATTTGTATGTGTATGTGTGTGTATGCCTCCCTATTTCAAAGAATAATATGAAACCTGCTCCATTATTCCTTTGTACATAATCACCAGAGCCCTCTTTCCATAAGCACTATCATAATTATAAGCACTTAAAGAAGGCCCAGCCCTGTAAGCCATAAAGGAAGTCAGGAACATAGACAAAGATGTAAAAGTTCACTGATCCAAACTCATTGAAAATAAATTAAAAAAAACAGGTAAATGCAACATGCCTGCGGTCGCCCTGAGTCAAAGCACCGAGAGATTCTAATCTCTTCGCAACAATTGATGCAAATCGTCGTTCTCCACCAAGATTAGTAAAGAGTATCCTGATGCATTTATGAGAATAGAGATCAGGTAAACTGGTGTAACCTGGCGAGATAATTTCAACAAAAACTATCGCTGGAATCATTTCATATCCATTCTAAGGAGCTTACATCTTAACTTCTATAGGATTTATGAGACAGTACATAGTATACACCAGCAAAATAGCATTTTGACAAAGCAGTATAACCTATGGATAGCAGCACTGCACAGCCATCTCCAAAAATGGAACGGAAAGGGAGCGGGGAGCAGAACGGCCAATATTTTAGTTACGTGGACGCTAATACCGTTAATATAATGAAAACATATTTGTTAAAAACTAAAATAAAATAATCAAAATTTATGAATTATTCATATTTAGAAATAAAAGTCTAAAATAATCTTGCTATCCTTAAAAGTTTAAGGGTAATATCATATACGGATGACACGGCTGCTCAGTGCAGTGATGTTCTGAATCCAATCCCATTATTGTGGTCGAACCAGCCGAGTCACCCATTTGTGACGGAACGGCACGGTTTGACGTAGTTTTCTTGGTTTTGCTGTTCCTTGCCGAGTTAACGGCCGGGACCGCTGAGGTTAACAACTTATGTCTTGGGTTGAAACTTGAAACAATTGAAATTATCTGGTTACATTAAGACAGTAGAATGGTGAAAAAGAGAGATATGAGACTCTTAATATTTCTATTAGATCAATGTATATGAAACACGGTAGTATCAGATTTTTAGACACACCTTTTTGACACTGATACTTTTTAACATGTGTCACACACTACTCACTAACTCAATAGGCGTCCAGTTAAAAAAAAAATATTGTCTAAGATTGGGATCAAACAATTTTGTCCAACCATTGCTTAAGCCATTTTGAACTTATATGTCTGAAACAGAATATTTTGGTTTCAGGCGGCGGTTTTAAGTTAAATACTTTGCCGATATGAAACCAGAGAGACAACAAGTTAACTGATTAATTTAGTCAACATAAATAACAATATGAAAAGCAAGCAAACAGATCAAACGCAATTCATTATAATCAATAACCTGTATTCTGGTGCTGAAGCTTGATTTGATCTATGAGTTCTTCCAAATTGCTGAATTGCACGGTCAGCACTCCACGGAAGCTCTAGCGTTAAATGAACCCTTCTTTTCTGTTATGTAAAGGTTGCGGGGCATAAAATTGGGAGAAATGGCAGACAGCAAAGAATAAAACAGAGCATACGTTCAATCACAGAAGTTCTAAACCACGCCAAATCATAAACATAGGACAGACAAGACAATGGTATCAGGGACAAAAAAACTTTCAAGTCAGTTTGACATGCCTGATTTGCCGCTCTCCTATCTGCCTGCAAAGAAACACCAGCTGATCCAGCTTCAGAAATAATAGCAACAAACTTTTTTCCATCCATAAAAAGCTGCTTTTCGTGCATGTTAACCATTTCCATGGTGACATCCTTTCTACACAGATACACAAAATTTGGCATAACGCAGCTACTATTAAATGCTGTTAAACAATAAGATATGGAGACACTACAACTTACGTATTACGAGCCTGATAAGTTACACCCTTTCCGGTAGGGCCCCTCACAAGCATGCCTCTCCTTCCTGTAATTTCTGCAACTTTTTCGGGCCCTCCTAGCTATATATAAGAAAATTTGTAACCAGAAATGTGAGTAATTTTAATTCATAAACAAAACAGTATTAATCTGAAAAAGTACAACAAAAAGGACACAGCATTCTCACAAAATGATAACCAAATAAGCAAAACTAGAACCTATAAGATTTAATGATACAACACAGCATGCTAATAATGTCTCTGAATGTTTTACAGAGAAACACCAAAAAAATCATGAATACAACAAAAGGAGAGCTTAAAATAATTCTATCACTAATGATTATAGCCACAATTAAGATTATTCTCTCTACTTATTATTGTTGATATAATTTCCTAAATATTTTAAACAGAGATCAAATTATTTATACAAGAACAAAACTGAAAGTTTCAAAACTCTGTATAAACCAAATATTTTAGTTATTCCATGAAGCAATTGTGATAGAGGAAAAGGTCGTCAGGCATTTTTATTTTCTTGCTCCCTTGCATCTATGTAGTTGTTTTTATATAACCTCAAAACATTATAATTAAACTGTATTCGAGTATTTAAGCAAATGTTCTTCAAAGCAAGCGGGTAAAATCAAAGATGGAATCACTACCTGGTCAGTAATATCATCCAAGGGATTATTTGGAAGATCCAAAGAACGAATGATCTCTAATATTTTGGTCCTACGTTCCAAGGCTGCATCATATCTGCCATATTTTAATAAAGCAATCAGCACTTTATTATTTAATTTTCCCCCTAATTTAGGTTCATGAAGATAATGTGTCTTGTAATTTCTTTTTAAGATAATGTGTCTTGTAATTTCTTTTTAAGATAATGTGTCTTGTAATTTCTTTTTTAACCACTTATTCAGCATAAAATGATAATTAAAACCTTTAAAGTCAGACCCAATAACTTGAGAAATGTTTAAATTGTATACCTCTTCTGGAGTTCGGCTATGTAGGCTTGCCTTGCTAGAAGATATTCATCTGTTTTTTCCTTACATAAATGGCATGACCACTCTTCAGGAACTATATCACCAATTGGTGGCATCAAGCATGTGGAATGGACTAATTTACCACAGCAGGAACACTGTAACATTTTTTTCCTTTCCTGCGATGAAAACTACGTGACTACTACTTCCCTAGCATAACATCAAAATAATTCTCGACATCCAAAACAAAACAAAAATCAAAGAAAAACTACCTCCTCAGTGGTGCAAATTTCACATATCTGAAACTCCTCATCAGAATCATTAGATTCAATGTCAGAATCACCTGCATCAAACAAGATGAATCTTGATGAAATTCAAAAATATCTTGATAAAATTCATAAGCTCATTTTCAAAGGTTTGGTAAGAAGAAAATAGAATTTTGGTGCAAAGTGTTGTTAAAGGGATTCTGTGCTGTGGTTGTAGTTGTGGTTGGGAAAGAAGCGCAACATCACCGAGGATTTCTCCTCGCCTCTGATTTGTCATGGTGCTACTGTTGCTTCCCTTTAGACTGTGTTCTTATTTTGACTGATTCACTATCCTCCACTATTGCAGTTTTAGACCTCTATAAATTCTTATGGAAAAAGAGAAATAAGCTCTTGCAAAACAAATTGTTATCACTTTTTTTCCATAGAATAAACAATTATTTACAGCAAGGTAATTAATTTGCATTCTTTACCATCTATCAGCATAGCAAGCCAAGACGAGTAAATAAATGCTAATACATTATGAAGTAGAAAGTGCGTCAAAGCATGCATCTGTGCATACAATATAGTCCTCAAGGTTGTCAAACTCATAAATCCTACCCAGGGTTATAAACCGCATACTGTACCATTGCAAATTAATTAATTAATTAAATATAGTACAAATGGCAGTATATCTTGTTTTCCTCCTAATAAAAAATAATGACAGAAAACATTTAAGTTCACATTACACTGGAAACAGTAAACCCTGATTTCAATACATAATAGGCCTTGTCATTTATGTTTTTTTCTTGTTAGGTCTTCAATCCTAGTATGCTTGTTATTATATTTAGTACAGTAACTAATTTGTATGACATGTGGTCTCATATCCCAGAAAAAAGAGAACACAAGAAAAGCTTACAACAGTCTGTTTTATTAGCCAGGGTATCTCCCTTTCCGGGAACCTCTAAGTTGGGGCTACGTAATTTAGGAAATACGGCTTCTCATCCAAGTACCACAGAAGAAATTTTATCACAACTGTGAAGCTTGCAATGCTGTATGGGACTAACTGTTGGGAACCAAAGTGTGATAAGGCTTCATTATTGTTTTTGTTTTTGTTATTGGCCACTCATCTAAGTAAATTGGGTGGCTAGGATGGTACTGGTGTGTTAAGGCTTGATTATTTGGAATATAAACTCAGCAATAGAGTTATCAATTTTATGAGGTGAAATTGAAGTGCGAGGACCACATACTAACTACTTTTTTCTAGAATGAATAGCGGAAGCAATAGCAGTTCAGTGGGTTAAAAGCAAGATGAAGACTAAAAATATATAAATAAACAAAAAGAAAGTTCTCATTTGAAATATAGCAGTAGCACAGTGGCTTCATTGTTCAGCTTAGGTGACCCAACATAGAGAGATGAGGCTTGGATGTAGATATTTGGAAAAATGGCTTCATAACATATGCAGCTAAAGCACAAAAAGGAAAAAGGCTGTGTATACAAAAGATTCATCAACTTTGCTTCTGGGAGACTCACTTTCAGATTCTTCGTCACTTTCTGCATCACTAGGAGGTTGCAACTTGGCTACTTTTCTGACCCTTCCTTTTAATGAAACACCAGGGGTTGCAGAGTGCCTCTTCCTTTGGAGCTCCTTAACACCATCCTCTCCTATAATGTAAAAGAATAAATTATAAATTAAGTGCACAATAAACAAATGAAAATCATTTGGCAAAAAAATCTTAAACCTGGAAGGAGCTCAGGTTTCTCTGGTAATGGATAATTCTCTTCCACAAATTTAAGCAGCAATTCTCGAGGTCCGGAAACAAAGTCATCGAGTTCAGAACCCTTTACAAAAAATAAAACAAGTGAGAAAATTGAATTGTAGAAAAGTATTTGTTTACATGAAATTGAATACATAATCCAAATACACACATATTTTGTCACAGCTTCCTCCGTCCTTGCTTCACCAGTACTCTGAAGACCAATGACTACACATTTTTCATCAACTAATGCTTGCTTTGCTAGTCTTACAGTAGCAGGGACTTTAGCAGACATACACATGTGTCTAAAGAAACGCTACAGAGTTAAGAACATATTTAGTATACAGACAAGTGACGCATCAAAATAGAGATTATGCCTGCAGGTACCAACTAAATATTAATACCTGGTGGCTTGCCCAGTACAATCGCCATAGTTGACTAGTGTTAGGTTTATCATTTAGGAAGGCACTAGCTGACAGCAATTCTACTCGTAATTCTGCCCAAAATTCCGCTGCCTTTTTATACATGTCCTAAGTAGTTTGATATGGACAATAAGGTCATCAGGTGAAAATATTTACCTCAAAGGATAAATAAGCAAACCATCAGATATCATAGATGACATGGATAATACATGTTACAAATTTACAATTATATGAAAACAAAAGTTGACCAGTATGCAGCCAGGAGGTGTCTCTAGTTTTCTACAATACCAACCCCTTTCTTACCATACATAGAGTGAACCAAAAGGCTTTGAAATATACAAAATATAATGGAAAAACATATTCCTAATCTGATACTTCCAATAATACATCCACAATCGTCTAAATATAATGCAGGTAATTTGTATATAAATCAATACAATTGACATTGGCAAATGAAAATCAATGAAACACAAACCAAATGTGGAGGGAGGGGGGAGCTAATTACAACACATCACAAAACTAACAGACGGTTGAAACTGGTTGATGGGATTCCTTTTTCTTAACCTTCTGCTCTACGGTTATTATTTTCAGATGCCAGTCAACCAGACAATACTTTACCAGATAATCTCCATTATTTCTTTTGTAGAGCACTTACAGCTTTAGTAAATAAAGATAACATTAGTTAACAGGTTAGTATCCCATACCATCATTTTATCTTCTAACAGTGCTTCAATAACTTCAAACTCAGCACCCTCATAACTAAGTGTCCGGCATAAATACATCCCCCTACAATGAGAAAAGTGAAGCAAAACAATATTCTTTCATAAACATCCATGTTCTTAAGTCTAAATGTTCATGTATACGTGAAAATATTATAACCTTGTTTTCATGTCCATGGCAACTAATTCTAGAGCTCCAACACCCCCTCTATCAAGAGCACCTGGATGTATAAATTCAAATAGTTAACTTAACTTTACGCATTAAGAGGATGGGCCTGTGAGGAAAACACATGCAGAAAGAAAAGTATATAAGAAATTCTATTATGTAGCTATAGTAAGTTGAAATGTAAAAAATTGTAAAATATTAGTTATCTAAATGCTTTTAAAGTTATAATACAGGTCAAAAAATTGAAATATGGTAAGCTGAAATATAAAAAATTCTAAAACATTTTATATTATGTAGCTATGGTAAGTTGAAATATAAATAATTGTAAAATTAATATTAGTTATCTATCAATACATTCATAAATGCTTTTGAAAATAATACAGGTCAAAAATGGTTATATTAAAACAGCAGTATGTTCATGAAGAAAAATACATCATCAAGCGGAGGAGCATAAGTAGTTTCAAAACATTGCAGCATCAAGTATTGTAAAAGAAGTGCAAAGATTAATTTATCCAAGAAAAATATCTAGAGTAGATCAATAACAAGAAAAGGAAATGGTACCCAAAAATTCACGGAACTCAGAGAAAGAAGTTCCATCTCCCCAAAGACCAAGTCTAACCATATAACCCAAATTGCGGGGTTCAGATGCACCAGTTGCTGAGCAATAAACAACACGAGCTTCAGGTAGTCGATCCTGTAAAATTAAATCGCAATAACTGAAATCAGGCTTTCAATGCCAAATTCTGCAAAGTAATTTAACTTCAAAAAATAAAGACAGAGAGCAATAGACACTTGGGTACCAGCCAAAAAATACACATTATAAGTAGGTAAAAACCCGCAGTAAGTGTACGGGTACAGGCACGGTGTTGACAAGCAATTTTCGACTAGGGACATAGGCCTTTAAGCTGTAAGATTAAAGAGCTAAAAAGGCATGAGTTTCGTAGGAAACAACAGGATATGTCGAAAGGACACCGACCAAGGGAGCCAGTTGACGGACATGAGGTTCAGAGGCAACTGTCGGCAGAAAGAGAGGTTGACGAAGCAAGGATTTATATTGGCGGGAACGGTTATCAACGTGCAAGCTAGCGAGAACGTGGGAATATTCAAAACAGTTTTCCACGAAACCCAACGTGGGCTAGTAACCGTCGACGGTTACATATTTAAGATTTCTATTTAAGCAAATGTTTGTATTTGTGTCAAAGGTGGCATTTCTTCACATTTAGAGCATTACACTCAAAGTACCTGCATCTAAGAGAGAAACGAGTTTCAGGCTTAACAATGTATGAATGCTTCCACCTTTAAATTCATAGCAATTTCCAGTTTTTACTTTGAAATTACAAGTCTTGTCTTTAATTTCTCTACTTTGCAATTGTCTTTATCTTTTGCCCTTTTACCTTCTATAAACCAGTTCTCAACCCAAAAACACTCAAAACACTAAGTCTAGGATTATTGTAGTCGATCCTGCAAGTAATTTTTAATAAGAGGCTAGCGATTGTTTGGGGAGAAACAAATTGGCACACCTGGTGGGACACGTTTGTGTTTGAGTCTTCTTGTTTCGTGCATGAAATTAAGAAGGGGTAGAAGAATGGTAGATCCTAGAACTCCTGAAAGGAATCAAAATGTGGGAGGAAATACCAGTGCGGCGGCGAGTGTAGGTTCCAGTCCGGTGGTCGTGTCTTTGACTTCACCAAGCATAGTTACCACAACACAGCTAGTAACTGCAAGACCACCAATGGTCACAACTTCTGGGCAATATGTGCCTAGTTTTGCAAGAGAAACATATGATGGTGTGATTCTAATTTCTGGGCAATATGTGCCTAATTTTGCAAAAAATATACATGAGTATGGAATGCAACAGCAATGATGGCAGGACTGCATACTAGCAGTCCGACATTTGGCAAAAATTCTGCATTTTCCCCATATCGTGCTCTGGGGCTGTCGGGAAACCAATTTGGGCATTCAACTGGATTGGGATTCTCCAACCAAATTATGCCTACTTTCACCCAAGTATTATTGCTATCATGAGGCAACAGATGGATGAAAGTAACCATGAAATGGTCTATATGTTGACTCAACAGATGACTCTCATATTAAGACCTTTGATTGAGAATTCGGTGCAGAGTTATCAGACGTTAGCGACTCAAATGACTTGCATCGAAGACTTCCTTGGTGCCCCAAGAGCGTCAGTTCGACAAGTTACGCCTCCCCCACATGAGGATCTGGTGTAATACGAGGAGGTGGTCAACGAAGCAGTCGAACAAGAACCACCAACTCCCTAGCGTGTCGACCCTATACTTAGGATAGTACAGCAGCCCCCAGTTGTAATAGCGAACCGAAACCAAAATGCCGACCAAATGGCCAGGCAGGTTCGACAAGAAGCAGTGGCTGGGGAACAAAACCTAGAAGCCATTGTCGAAAGAATTACGATTAAGAATAGGATGAATACTGATTGTCAGAGGACTACGTATGTTTCTCCATTGCCAGATTTTGTGCTACAAACGAAGTTACCAAGAGATTGAAAACTCCCAAAGTTCACTAAGTTTACAGGGGATGTCGAAGAAACCACTGTCGAACATGTTGCCAGATACCAAACAGAACTTAGTGACTTAGTAGTGAATGAGAATTTGAGGATTAAGTACTTCCCCAATTCCCTTACAAAGAATTCGTTCACTTGATTTACAACGCTTCCCCCACAGTCGGTCCACACGTGGACCCAGTTAGAGAAATTGTTTCATGAACAATTCCACATGGGACAATAAAAAATAAGCCTAACAGAATTGTCCAGTGTCAAACGAAAAAGCAACGAGTCAATAGACCAATATTAACAGGTTTAAACTTCTGAAAGCGCGGTGCTTTATACAAGTCCCTGAACATGAGTTGGTTGAAATGGCTGCAAATAGTTTAGAGTATTCCATTAGGAAGAAATTGTTGGATACTCAGTCTTTGAAGGATATGGCTTAATTATCTATCAAAGTTCGATTGATCAAATGTTTGAAAGCTGAAAAAAACCAAGCCAAACAAGTATCATAAGAAAGGGAAAGTTGCTTATGTGGCAACCGATGAATGTTCTTATGACGAAGATGAGTAAGGGGAAGAAACAGAGATTAACGTGGTTGAACTCCAGCCTGGACCACCTTATGCGTGTAAACTTTTGAAACCGTCGAACGGGAAAAACCCCGTTGAAACCGAAAACAATGCTAAAGCCATCACCAAGACCTATACTTTTGATATAACCAAATGTGATGAAATATTTAATTTATTAGTATCTGATGGTCAAATTGTGGTTCCTCAGGGCCTGAAGAATCCCCCACTTGAACAAAAGAAGAAAAGGACATTGTGCAAATTTCATAATTTTCTTGGTCATAAAACTTCTCAATGTATGTTTTTCAGGGATTTGGTGCAGAAAGCTTTAAAAGATGTGACGCAGTCGGAAACCCTAGGGAATAGCAAGCGCTAAACCTAGAAAAGAAAAACAGGATTGCAAGCGCAAAATCTGTCAAACATAAACTCGAATCCACCAGAACAAAGAAAAGTTCAACCATTTAAATGAATGAAAATATGATTTTTTTTCTCGCGCCTGCCAACACGGGCCATGTCAGGCAACACGGACACCCGTGTTGGCCCTCTGCCTTGATTCTCAAATTTTCTTGCTCCCAGGCCTGCTGACACGGGCCGTGTCAGGTGACACGGGCACCCGCGTCATCCTTCTGTTTTTGTCCTCTCGTGCTCTTCATCTACACACCCTGACACGGGCCGTGTCACCCGTGTCAGGCTTCTGTTCTTGTATTTTTAACTTCCGCGGAATGTCCTCCGACTTCGCATCAGTTACTCAGATTTGCTCGCGTGTACCTGTGACATTAACACTACCAAACCAAGCATCAAAAGCACCCTAATTGACATGCATTCCCAAATCAATGCAATGCAAAACAACTTACCATGAAAACTAAAATAAAATACTAAGAACGATAAAAGATGGAACATTGTGTTACCGAAATGATAGACTTATTGTCGACTGATTGCTGAAAACAGAGTACAAATGGTGACCGATCATTTATACAGATTCAGATTGGGCAGGATGCTCCACAGACAGAAAATCGACTACAGGTTATTGTTCATTTGTGTGGGGGAACCTAGTAACTTGGCGAAGCAAGAAACAATCTGTAGTGGCAAGGAGTAGTGCAGAAGCGGAATTTAGAGCTACGGCCCTAGGTATTTGTGAAGGAATGTGGCTTAAGAGCATGCTAGATGAAATCAAAATTCAAGTGAACCATACTGTGAGGTTACTATGTGATAACAACGCTGCTATAAGCATTGCAAAGAACCCAGTCCAACATGATAGAACAAAACATGTGGAAATTGACTGACACTTCATTAAAGAAAAAATTGAACATAAGATTATAAGTATTGATTATATCCCATCATGCAAGCAAACTGCAGATATCTTAACCAAGGCTCTTCCAAGGAATACTTATCAAAATATCAAATTCAATCTGGGTATGATAGACATCTACCACCCAGATTGAGGGGGAGTGTTGAAGATTAGCACATATCAAATCATAATCATTTGATTCTGATTTGTCAAACTGTGACAAAACAGTGGTGTAAATAGATTTATTATCTATTATTGTCATTTCCTTATTTAGGTAGAAGCAGTTATAGGAAATTATTTCTCTGTTTATTAACAAATTAGTGCATTGTATTCTATATATACCTCAAAATATAACCGTTCCAACATCAATGAAATATACAACATATTTCTATAAAAAATAAATAAATAAAATATAAATTGTTCAAATTCTAAAAAATAGTAAAATGCTATTTTCGGATTTGAAACGAACTTAAATGACTTACAAAATACACATGTCACTGCAACACAATAAGACAATCGTCCTAGTCTATAAAATTTGGGTGGCCTAGTCTATAGTGCCACAGCATTGCAAAATACACATGTCACCCAGAATATGACAGTGTCGGAAGTATTAGAAAACAAAGATTTCACCTCCGACGAAGCGGCTGATGAAAAGCCTCTATGTTACTATGTGATGAACAGTGGCGTGGTCAAAGAACAGTGGCGTAGTCAAAGAACAGAAGGCAGTTACTATGTGGGATTCTGAAGAAGCAGCATCATCCAAGGAGTCGATCCCACCTATAGTGTGGCCTGTGATCGAAAAAGATGACCATTGAATGAGAAACAAATTTTGAAATTCGGTCGATGGGTGAACGTGTCGTAAACATTCGGCTTTAGAAGCTGAAAGGTAGGCAGTCGAAGCCAAATCGACAAAAAGACTGATATGACCTAAATCAACAGCTTCAGAAAGCCAGAGGCTAGAACAAGCCTTTGAGGCTTAAACTCACACGGATGTTTCAATTAAGATTTGATCACTTCATTAAAAATTTGTTTTGTTACAAAATTTATTTTGAGAATCTTTGTTTTGCCCCTGAACCTATGCTACAAGTTGTATCTATTAGGCAAGCTAAAACCAGGTCCTTATATCTAATCTTTCTTTCTGATATGATATCTATGGCTCTCTAAGTTGTTCATTCAATTTCATCTTTTGGAAACTTTGTCCAAAAAATATATTACATAAAAAATGTCGTCCAAAGAAGTCCAAAGAAATAACAAAGAATGACGATTAAAAGAGAATCCAAATCATCCAAAAAGAAAACAAAAATATAACTTTCTCAAGATTGACACCCACCTCAATATAAAATTAAAGTAAAGAAATTATTAAAAAAAGGACAAATAATACCAAAAACCTTCGTTCACTGTTCCAAGAGATTGAAAATTAAGAACCAAACCTGAATCTCAAGCACTGCTTCTCCTGTGCGTGTTGGCTGACTACCAGCTTCAGGGACCAAATTCTTTGCTTTGTGACACTACAATGAATCATCAAACCTTAGTAACAAAAAGTAATGAAATAAAATTGAATCCAAAAAGCACTTGAACCATAAATGTTATCCTTCAAAACAAACATTGGAAATAATAATTTGTACAAGAAAATGTTTGCATACCTCGTCAAAAATTACAAGGCCATCAAACCCTGGTCCACACCACTGCACAAGCTGCTGAAGACGAGAACGACCTTTCTCTGAAGATGCTATAAGGCTATTGTATGTCAAGAAGACAACTCCCTCCCTGATCCCAACAGACTTTGAATCAAGCTTAGAATAAGGTAGTTTGTTCAAAGCATGCACTGGATTAAAGGGGAGGGAAAAAGGAAGACGTTTGAACTTATCAGAACATTGTTTGTAATATAGATGAAATAATTAATTACAGGAACTTTTTACATTAAATTTAGATAAACACAAACACCGGAAATGGGCTAAAGATGAAATTTCTCCCATGATGATAAACAAACAAACAGAAAATTTTCATTCTTTGGATAAAAGAAGCATAATTAGAGTTGAGATGGCAGAAAAGATGATGATGACAAAGTACAATAACGAAGTCTTATCCTACTAAGTGGGATCGGCTACATTGGTCAACTTTCGGCATAATGTTCTATCCATAACCATGCTTCTATCTAAATCTTTTATCTCGAGATCTTTCTTAATAACTTCTCTTTTAGTTTTTCTAGGTTTTCCTCTACTACCTCTAACTGTTTGACTCCTCTCTATCTGATCTAGTCTCCTTATCACAAAATCTACAAGTCTTCTCTCTACATGCCCAAACCACCTAAGTCTATTTTTCACCATCTTTTCTACTATAGGTATTATCCCAACACTCTCTAATATTGTCATTTATAATCATATCATGTCTAGTCTTACCACACATCCAACACAACATTGACATCTCTACTACATTTACTTTATTCTCGTGTTGATTCTTAACCGCTCAATATTTTGTCTCGTACATTATCGCAGGTTTTACCGCAATCCAATAAAAAAATTCCCTTCAACTTTAGCGATATCTTTGTGTCACATAAAATCCCTGAAACCCTCTTCCATTTCAGCCACCCCGTTTGAATTTGATGGTTTATATCCCCTTACATTTCTCCATCGTTTTGTATTACGAACCTAAGATGTTTAAATTGCGTGACTTGTGGGATAATATGGCCTCCAACTTTCACCTCTAAATTTGAAACTTTCACCTCTAAATTTGAAACTTCCTTTTGGTTAACTTACATTTCATATACTCCGTCTAACTTCTACTTACGCGAAAGTCATCAGTTTCTAAACTCGTCTCCAACCTCTCCTTTAAATCCTCCTACAACTCTCCAAACATGACTACATCATCTGCAAAGGTAGAAGACTTAGGGTTGAACCTTGATACAAACCCATTGTAATGGAGAAATTGTTAGTCTCTCCACCCTCTCCGCTCTGTGTCCGCACACTAGTCAATACCCCTTCATACATATTTTGGATAGCTCGAATATTTGCAATCCTAACCTTTTTCCTCTCTAAGGTTTTCCACAAAATCTCTCTAGACACTTTATCATATATCTTCTACAAGTCAATAAAAATTAAGTGTAAGCCTTGTTGGTTCATCAGATACTGCTCCATTACACATCGTAGTAGATAGATTGCTTCCATGGTTGACCTCTCATAATAAAATCAAATTGATTCTCAGTGAATTGAGTCTCTTTTCTTAATCTATGTTCAATCACTTTTTTCCATGACTTCATGATATGAATCATAAGTTGAATCCCCCTATAATTTGCACAATTTTATATAAACCTCATAGAATAAAACTAAAGTGCTTCTTATCCATTCATCTGACAGTCATTCGTGATAATGTATGTGGCTAGTTCATATATCCAAACACAACGGCAAGGGATGAAGGAGGTATGACAAGTAAAAATAAAAACCTAGCCATTTAAGACCAATGATGTAACAAGACTCATGGAGTAATAAGAATCACACTATTTTTAGCTTTTTAGCAATGTGATCTTATTGAGAACCACTTGCCATGAATCACCATGTGAGCTAACAACAACTAAGCCTAGGTGGAATCGGCTATATGGATCAACTCTCTCCATAATGTTCTATCAAGGACCATACTTCTATCCAAATCCTTAATCTCGAGATCTTTCTCAATAACTACTCTTATAGTCTTTCTAGTCTTCCTCTTCTATATATATATAATCTCGAATAGCGTTGCGTAGCAACAAACCCCTAAAATGCTATAGCAATATAGTGGATAACGAGATAGTCGCTATTGCAAAGAGTATAAACCACTGTAAAAGTAAACATACATACTTACAAATAAACTAATACACATTCAAAGAGATCATCAAACGATCACGCTTAATAGTTAAAGAACCTAAAGTATAGAATATTAAAACTTATGCAGATAAAAAGAGTAAAACAAAACTGAACTAAAAGTAGGAAGAGCAGAACAATTATTTGTGAGCAAGAACATAACATTAGGCTTTGTTTGGGAGTTTGGAGGAGAAAGGAAGGGAGGACTTTTAAAAATAGGAAGGATTGAGTGAAAAGAATAGAAGGATTTTGGTTGGGAGAATTTTGAATGGTTTATTTTCGTTCATAACATCAAAAAAACCCTAATTTGGGGGAACTACAAAATTGTATTGGATAAGGATTTTGGAGGGTTTTGGAGGGTTGAACAAATTGTTCAAATATAATTTTTATTGTTATAGTATTCCAAAAATTAAATATATGTTAATGATAAGCACTATTTTATCATTCTATACAGAATCTTTTTTTCAAAAAATCTCAAAAGATTTCTCTATATTTAAAAAAAATCATTTTTCGAAGTCCTCCATTCCCTCCCCTCCAAATTCCCACAAACCCTTACAAAAAAACAACAGTTTAAAAAAAAGGATTTAAGGAATTTATCCCTAGAATTCTAATGGCGTCTGCGATAGCGGTTTGGGGCCGCAATTAGCAGCTGCTACAATCGCTATTGTTGACAGCGGCTTGCAGACAAATAGCATCGCGTCGAACCCTAGCGCCGCTATAGTGGTGCTATAGCATGCTATTGACAACATAGTCCAAAATCCTAGTTCGATATGTGATTTTAAAAACTACTTCATAAAATATCTATACAAGTCCTAAAATTTGAAAAGTGGAAAATAATAGGAGGAACCCCATAGTGAGAACGATTTTTGCACTTAATATTTAATGAGTGTGTAACAGGCAAGGACATAACCACAGTGTGTAACTATGCAACACAACTTTATCCATATAATATCACCAAAGGAAATACCTTCAATACATGTTGCACCTGCATCATCCAAGTCTCTTCTAGCATCAAACTTCAAGTCAGAACCAATAGAAATCCACCTGTGTAAGATCGTTGAAAACATGATAGAGCATCAAAACAAGTAAACTCTAAGAGTATAGTCAGGCATCGAGTACAAATTAGAAACACACATGGTCATATGGTTTGGTTAGTGTGTTCGAATTTGCATCGAAAGCATGAATTTGCTTTTAACTCAAATTCCAATAACATGCAAGTATCATTGGATGCAGAGACAGTGTGAACAAAACTTACAATGCTTTTCTCCTTCCATGGTGCCAATTCTCCCAAATTAGACCTGCAATTGTTCGACCTTTACCTACACCAGCTCCATCTCCAATAAAGAATCCTGCCCTAGCTCCACCGGGGAGGTGCTGAAGGTGTCTCTGTCAAAAACATTACATTAAACACAAGAAAGGCAAAGTAAATCATAATTATATACTGTCCATTATGTCAAAGAAGAAACCTGACAAGCATAGACCAAGGTCTCAATTTGCAAACATGATAAAGCCTTTGAACTTTCCAAAATATCTTTAGATTTTGGATCATAGGTAGGATCTGGTGGCTGCACTGCAGCCAATGAAGATGTCTCCACAACAGGATCTGGGTGTGGAGGTCCAATAGATACTTTTGGTGGTCGCTGCATAAAGAGACAATTTAATATCACTATAGTGTGCTTGTGTAACTTGAAATAACAAATGAATTGTTGATAACAAACTTCTAGCATACATTGCTGGAGAAAGCAATTAGTAACTTACATAATCTGTAAATGTTTCTCCGGCCATGCCACCTTCATCTTCATCCCGCTCCACTTCAACAGCAACCTGATTTAATTCCATGCAGGATAAAAGTAAAAATAAAGACATAAGAAGGCTAGTTAAATATATAAACCATTTTCAAATAATATTAGAAAACCAGTAAAATAATAAATGCGGGGAAATATCATTAAACAGCTAGACATAATTTAATAAAGTATCAAAAAGGTAGAGAGTAGGTCGGTCATCCAATCTCTTTTGCCTGTAGGGGGTTTTATGTTCACAAATATATTCTATTATTCAAAAACAAAAACCAAAGGCAAAGAAAACACCTATACATCCATATTGTCGAACAAAACTGTAGAATCAAGAATGCTACTATGTACACAGAAAAAGGAAAAATATCAATTCAAAAGAGCGGCCAATTCCCTAGGCAGGCCCAATGTATGAACGTACAAAGTATCTTAAAATGACGATCAAAAGAATGCTTGTAGCAATGAAAGTCTTTTTTTACTAATTTTGTGGGACAAACTTGTTTCTTAACCTCATATTTTAGTCTATTGATGATAATTGTATTGGACCAGCAGGCTGCACGCAAATTCTTATCTCACTTTCTGATATATTCAGGTCCTTCCTTTAAAGCACAAGGCCTGAGCATCAGACATCATGATTCATGACAGTCTCAATTCAATACAAATGATCTGGGATCTTTTTAATTGAGTAGGTTAAAAATGAGAATAAGGAAAAAAAATATTTTCAACCGAAGTTTTGTCCAGAGCGAAAGATGTGTACACTATAATATTCACCCTTTACTTCTGTTGCACCATGCAAACATGAAGTTATTTGCATTCAAGATCTTCCAATTTCCAGCTAGCCAACCAAGGTTTGGATAGAGGATACTTCTGGAAAAGGGATGGAAACATAAACTTTTGTATCTAATCTAAATTGAGAAATTATAAAAGTTGCTTCCATTTTATAAAATCCTCGTGTAAGGAAACAAATGTCTAATCAAAATAAAAATCTACACTCCTTTCCCTTTACCGGCAAAACCCTTCCATCCAAAGGATAAGAGATCAAAGACAAAAGGCTGGTTTTGCCATGTAAACAATTGATTCTTGCTGACGGAGGGCCACTTAATTGCAAAAAAAAAAAAAAAACCTTAAACAATCTCATTTCTTTGAGGAATAACTCCTATTCCAAGTTTACAATGCATGAAACTTCTATTAATAGCAGTTATGCACCCATCAAAGCCATCTATACATTCTTATCCTAAAATGACGACAAAAAACCATGCATGAAATGGACGAAGAGGGAAACAAACCAGCAACGTAGAGAGCGATAGTCAGTACCTTAACAAGTTAACTTACATTCGCCCACAGCATTAATTCCCTCTTCTCTCATTGATAAACTACTTTCTCTGAATCCCGAAAAAACTAACATATCATGCTTGTTTCCCAATTCTTATTAACACATTCACCATATCAACTATCAAGCATATTTTCCTTCTTTGTTGCAATGCTTATCCATCCTTAACAACAACACTATCATTTCATCAACAGCCATCAGACCTTAGACCACATTCGATCAAACAGCTATTGCCCGGAACACAACATGACATATGAGTTCCTCCATATAAACTACATCTTAAAAGTAAATAACAACTCCAATGCAAATTTGAAGTGAAAGCAACAATTTATCATTTTGACTCAATCTCAATAAAATGTACTCACAATGAAAAACAATCACACACTAAATTACTCTATTTCCACCATTGTCAATAAAAAATGCTAGATGAAATCAATAACATAAAGAAATCAGAATCGCATTGTTCAATTGTACACAGTAAAGCAGTGACAGGAGCAACACTTCATAATTCCAAAATTGCGAGAGAGAAAATGATAAAGCAAAATTGGAGTAACCAAACCAAACCTCGTTAACTTCTTCAAGCGAAGGCGGAGGCAAGAACTGTTTAATCTTAGAGAGATCGACGGCGAGGTCAACTTTACATTGAGGACAAGAGAACCGCGAGAGGCCATGAGGAACGTTGAGGATTGCCTTACAGGAAGCGCAAGGAAGCTGGATCTTAGTAGGATCAATGCCATGAGCGGGCAAGTTCTGTGAAGGAGGAGTTAACGGCAACGTTGACGGTGCCGTTTGGTGGACCCTAGCCATGAGTTCCGGCGGAAGCATCTGCGGCATTCGGCAGGTCGGGCAAGCGAATTCGGTCAGCCCGGGCGCCACGGTCAAGATCATGCGGCAACCGGCACAGCGGACACGAACGCCGCCGTCGGAAGGTTGTGACGGTGGAGCGGTTGGTGGTGGAGGTGGTGGTAGAGGCGGAGGAGAAGATGGAACCGATGGTTGAGTCATTTTTGTGTTCCTTTCGAGCGAGAAAGCGCGAAAGGGAATGGAAGGTTTTTTGTTATGCTTGTAATTTCTGTAACTTGTTTCTTTCTTCTGCCTGTGTGGTGCCTCTCTCGGAAATGAGCCCAACGTGGTTTGTAGGGTGGGTGGATGGAGTGTGTGAGATTGAGGATTAGGGAAGTTGGGTTCAATTCTTTCCCAAGCTGGGAAATATTGGCACGTGACAAACATTGTGGGTTTATATTTTGATTTTAATTTAAATCATTTTGATGGTTTTAAAATTATTATTTTTTTGGTTACAGATGATTTTAACTTTTATAGTATAATATTGGTATTTTGTTTTATTTTTACGATAAATTTAATCTTTTATTTGTTATTATTATAAAAATTAATTAATTAATATTAAACTTTAATAAAATTAAATTTTTATTTTATAAAATAAGATAATATCAAATTATCATACACACTTCTAATTTTTTATTTACTTATCATTATCAAAAAAATTATTTTTTATTTTAATTAATAATTTTTATTATTTGAGATTTAAAATTCTTATTTTAAAATGTTTTAAAAAAAAATTCTCACAAGATACTATCAGCAAAATACATATTTTATTTAATTCACAATTGTATTTATTTGAAACACAAAATTCTTATTTTTCAAATGTTAAAATTTCTCTTTTTTTCACGAGTCACTATCAGCAAAATACTTATTTTATTTTAATTAACAATTGTCTTTATTGGATATATAAAATTCTTATTTTCAAAAGTCAAAATTTCTCTTTTTTTCACGAGCCACTATCAACAAAATACATATTTTATTTTAATTAAAATTGTCTTTATTTGATACACAAAATTCTTATTTTCAAATATCAAAATTTCTGTTTTTCTCATGGGAAATTGTTCTGGACTGGGCCGGCACTTGTCCCACCGTTGACGAGATCCAATCCAGCGTCTTTATCAGAGGCTCAAAAACATGCAGCCCAATCTTAGGACCGTTGGGCATTTCCACGTGTCTGCTAGGAGAACGTAGCTCACGTGTCCATATCATCATCATCCTGTCCTCCGAGAATAACGGGTTCAGCTTCTGCTTTCTCGGGGCAGTTGACCAGGAAGGAGGTCACGTGTTGGACTACATACACACGTAAACCCTGACAGTCTTTGCTGTTGAGTCCCATCGTGGTCCATCATTGAAGACCTTGGCCCAGCATTGAGGACTATAAATACTCTCACTTGAGAGGATCATGTATTCAATTACTCACTAATATTCTCTTACTTGCTAGCACTTGCTCTGAACCTCACTTTGGCATCAGAGTGTCTTGCAGATACCCCCCCCCCCCTCACTTCGCTTCCAACTGCTGCTCGACTCGAAGCTTGAAGGATTTGACAATCCCTTCTGGTCAGGTATGATCAATAGCGTCGTATGTGGGAACCCAACTTCCTCGTCTCCATCTTAAGGCCAAAGCAACTCTTCATCAAACTATATGATTGCCATGACCGACCAAACTGTCGATAATAACCAAAATGCCCATCTCGCCGACCCCATCAACAACATCAGCGACCACAGTGTAGGCAACAACATCAACATGGTCGGTCCAGAGCAAAACTACAGAGATGTATTAACTGCATCTTCATCATTCTGCTCACAACTGTGCGACGACGACTATCATCCTCCCCAAAACTACAAACCAAATGCATTCCAGGAGGTCCCCGTTCCAGCAGATGCAAACGCCACGACTATAGCTCTGTCTGTGGCCATCAACCAAACCAACTACATGATCTTCTCACAGGGTAAGCAGCTGAGAATGCTCGAGCAAACTCGTCGGTCCCCCAGAAGGCACAGAAGACCTGACACTCCTCCTCTCTGATGTAACGAAGACTTTCCCCAATCTCCCCCGCAGAGACACAGGCGGGATATCTCGTGCAGCCCTTCTCCGCGACAAATTGGTCGACGTCCTGCGTTGGAGAGAAGCTAACCTGAAGCTATGGGGAGGCGCGGTCACATCCCACCATGCAAAGAGTGATGATCTCTTGGAAACAACAGAAACAGAGGAAACAGAGAAGGACAACCTCGACCAAGGGATCCTCCCCGCGGCCAAGGCCATCACAACAACCGCCACTACAACCGATCCTATTTCCGCTCTCCAGACAGAAGTGACGAAGATGACCCCATGGTCCATTGTCCAAATAAATCATGGAGGCTCCCATTCCTAGGGGAGTGGAGAAGCCTCCCCTACTAAAGGAGTATAATGGCATTGCAGATCCTGTTGACCACATCGACGGGTTTGAAGTAATGCTCCAATACCACAACATCGAGGGGGCAATTAAATGTCGGTTGTTTCCCACGACCCTGAGAAAAACAACCATGGACTGGTACAAGAACCTCTCCCCCGGGTCGATCACCTCCTGAAGGAGCCTCAATAACCAGTTCATCATCTCCTTCACCGCATCTCGTCGACATCTGAAGACGGAGACCGCCCTTGAGGCAATCGTGCAGAGAAGCAACGAGACCCTCATGGAATACATTGATCAGTTCAACCGCGAGGCCATTCAGGTCCCGTGCACCGATCACATGAAAAGGTACCTGCTCGTGAGAGGACTCCTTCCGAGCATTGAATTCAGAAAAGGTCGTCGACATTGAGCCCCCCGATATTTCGACGCTTTCCTCGAAAAGGTCAGGATGTACATGGACTACGAGGAGAAAGAAGCGACCAATAAAGCCTGTGATTCGATAACCACTGACCAGCTAACATCCCACGGCACTAGGACATGGGCCATTCTCGACGGACTGAGAAAAAGATTAGGGAGGAGAAACAACACGATCCCCGCAAGCATAGAGGACCAGCGGGACGGTTCACAGAGTACACCCCGCTGACCGCTTCCCGCAAGCATATCCTTGCGAAATATTCTAATATCGAGTTCAAGGACGACGACGTCAGACGTCCTTGACCCACTCCTGCAAAGCCCGAGGAAAAAATAACAAAATAGTGTCAGTACCATCGTAGCCACTAACACTTGACAGAAGACTACATCCACCTCAAGGATTCCATCAAGACTCTCATCAAGGGTGGGAGACTTGGGCAATACATACGTAACGACGCCCCTCGCAAGGATACTCGCGAGGCAAAAGAAGTCAAGGAAGAAACTCGACCATCCGATGAATCGGGCCCCGTCCAAGTGGCTTTTTCCGTAACAAGGCCGGAAGACTTCCACGTCCCCAACAGATACGAGGATGTACCCTTGTCCATGCGCAGCAGATGGGAGAAATTCCCCTCCGCCGTGGTCATATCTGCCGGAGGATTCAACGACATCTCAATGAACTCGGCAAAGAGGAAGCTCGACGAGTTGGTGGACGCAACCCCGACCCAGGCAGTAACGCTCGAAAGGTTCAAAGGAAAATATGAACCAATCACTTTTTACATGGAGGAGCTGCTCGGCAGAGCCCCAAACTCAAACATTCCTCTGCTGGTGAGGGTAAGGATGACCAACTTTGACGTACATCATATTTTGGTCAACGAGGGAAGTTCCGCCGACGTCATGTACAACCATTTGTTCTGAACCCTTCAACTCGACGATGCCCACTTGTCACCATACGTGGGGTCTGACCTGTAAGGATCCAACGACTCGACCTCCAAGTTGTGGGGCTACATGGAGCTCTTTGTCACTATCGGGAAAGAAACTGCATCCCGACAAGTCAAGGTGCGATTTCTGGTGATTGATTGCCCGTCACTCTACAACTGCATCTTGGGGAGACTGACATTGGCTAAGCTGGCCGTCGTACCCCTCATCGTCCATCTGAAAATGAAGTTCTAGATCAGGAGGGGACGCGTCACCACCATCCATGGAGACATCTCAGCTGCTAGGAGATATTTTTATGCAGCCTCCAAAGGGCAAAGCATGGTCGACACTGGAGCACGACTCGCCAAAAAAGCAACCACTACTTAACTTGATTTGAAGTCTGCTCGGATCGAAGAACAATGGGCTCCACCGAAAGTCGACTCCATCTCCCTCGACACTCGCTTTTACAAAGATGAAGTCTAAGCCTCCAATGGAAAATGTGATCTTCTCCAACCTATCCCAGATGGAGACTTCGAGTTCGTCCCCCTCGGCGAAGACCCTCACAAAGGTGTGAAGATTGGCACTGAACTCCCCAACCTGGCGAGGAAGCAGCTCAAAGCTTGCTTAAAGGAGAACACAGACTTGTTCGCATGGAGTGTTGCGGAGATGCTCGGACTCGACCCTGAGGTCGCCTGTCACTGACTCACTGTTGATCCTCCCGCTAGGGCAGTAGTGCAACATAGGCGTAGGCAGTCTCACGAAAAAGAGGAGTCTACTGAAAAAGCTGTAAAAGACCTCCTAGAGGCGAATTTTATTTCTGAGGCCCGATACTCAACCTGGCTCTCAAACATTGTACTTGTCAAAAATAATAATAGAAAATGGAGAATGTGTATTGATTATACTGATCTTAATCGGGCATGTCCCAAAGATTCTTTTCCTTTACCTAACATTGATATGTTGGTCGACAACTTGGTCAGCTACAAATTTTTATCATTTATGGACGCTTACTCGGGCTATAACCAAATTCCAATGGCGATGAGCAACAAACATTGCACCATCTTCATGACCGGGTCGGGCAATTACTACTACAACATAATGCCCATCAGCCTAAAAAATGCAGGGGCAACATACCAGTGGATGATGAATAAAGTCTCCTGCGACGAGATCAGAGACATGCTTGAGGTATATATGGATGACATGATCATCAAATCTCGAACAAAAATCGACCATGCTACCCATCTCAAAAGAGTCTTCGCCCAAGCAAGGCAATGCAAAATGAGATTCAACCCAGAGAAATGAACCTTCATGGTTAAGGCGGGCAAATTACTCGGTTTCCATCTGACCGAACAGGGAATCAAAGCCAACCCCGACAAATGGCGAGCATTTTCCGAGCTTCCCACGCCTGTCTCTAAAAATTCCATACAAGTCCTAAACGGGATGTTCACCTCA